CATCAGGTCCTGTTGCGACGGCAGCTGATGCGACGATCACTTTCTCTTCATTACCAGTAGCTGGCGCTGGCGCCGCTTTGCTTTCGGTTTTCTCTTCTCTAGCGAGGGGAGCTCCGCCACCAGATAGCATACTACGAGGTGGGCATGGGCAGTATGCAGCATCATGACCAGGTGCACCGTTGGCTCCTGCCGTACCAACACCTCCAGGCGTACCAGCTGTACCAGAACCTCCAGGTGGTCCAGCTGGTCCCGCAGGTCCTGGGGCTCCGACACTACTGCTTCCGTCCTGAAAGGGTATATTTAGGCCCTGATAATGTACGAAGCAAGAATGAAAATGCGCACCTCTCCAGGATGACCAGGTGCTCCCGGTGGACCAGGTGGTCCTTGGGGTCCAGGAAGATTCGATGTTCTGGTTCCAGGAGCACCTTAAAGAAATGAAATTTTTCTTTTTTACTAAAGATCTAGTAAAACTCCATACCATCCTGTCCAGGACTTCCAGGAGAACCAGGATGGCCATCTGGTCCTGAAGGTCCGGCCGGTCCAGCTGGTCCAGGCTCTCCCGCTCCGCCAGCACTACCGTCCTGGAGAAATATACTTACTTTTGCATGAAACAACGAACAAAACAAACACTTACGGATCCCGGATTTCCACTTGGACCTGCTGGTCCAGGAGCTCCTTCCGGTCCTGGTGGTCCTGGCGGGCCCGCTGGACACTTGATACATCCTCCCATCATGTGATGAGCTTCCACGGCCATTCCACCTAATCCAGACTTTCCTGGCACACCGTCCTCGCCATCCACTAAAATATTCGCTAAGTCCGTAGACATGGGAAAAATTTCTTAGTAACGAACATCCAGGCTCTCCTGGCTTTCCTGGTGGTCCTGGAGGTCCTGCCGCGCAGTGGGTTGATTGCTGAGCGCAATCTGAAAATAACCAAAATGAGTTCTCGTCATCCAAATGGAGCAAGAAAAGTGCAGTTCGCGTATACATGGGCGCCGGACTTCGTGATTGGTCAAATGCGCGTCTGACCAACCATGAAGCGGCTAAACGGCTAAGCTGTTAAGTCGGGCGTCTGCCATACGTTATAACCATCAAAAACTTACTACACTGATTGTCACCACCTCCCGTCGGTGCCTCTTGATAGGCCTGTCGACGAGTTCTAGCCAACAACACTGAGCTACGATCGCCTCCGGTTGTTTTTAGCATCTGCGTCCATGCGTCATCGGCGTAACCCTAGATGTGTAATTGCAGAAACACAGCCAGAAAATTGTTATGCGCTCGACTGACCTTGAACTCGCCCATATCCGTAATCACTTCGTCATAGAATGAGTTGATCTCAGCTAACAGAGACACGGTGATGCAGAGAGCTGCCGCGATGGCGATCGCAGACCCTCCGCAGGTCACGGCAATCACGTGGCGTTGAACGCTCATTTGGGCGAGTTTAAGCTCAAGGTGCTAGCTAAAATTGTTTGATGGTACTGGTCTGAGCTGACTTGCATGAGATTTTATGGAATTAGCGAAAAAGAGAAGGTAATATGAGGCGGCTCAAGAGCTGCCTATCGACCGCGTTGCAGTAGCCTGCGTCGCGGCACTCCTAGTTCCTACTTTCTCTACTTGAATTCGTGCATGCACATCGAATTTAAATCCTATTTGTACAAAATTTCCAGAAGAAAGAGCTTGATGA